TCTTCTTCTTCTTCTTCTTCTTCTTCTTCTTCTTCTTCTTCTTCTTCTTCTTCTTCTTCTTCTTCTTCTTCTTCTTCTTCTTATTCTTATTCTTATTCTTATTCTTATTCTTATTATTTTATTAAATTGACCCTCAAACTTTCCTGACAAATTAATCGCCGTGTGAAGAAAAAAACACTGCCTCCAACGGTATAACAGATATGTAACAATCCTGATATTCCACAATTAAATCAATTAAGAAACACAGGAGCTGAAGAGAATTCTAGGTGAACAAAATGGGTGCCTCTACAGGAGCAGCTTGCTCAGTCAATCTCCAAGCACCTAGGAATTCAAATTGAGGCAGACCGATAATACTTTACCACCAAGCTGTTAAGAAGAAAAAAAGTAAAGGGGGAGGAAAAGGGGGGATGGAGGTTAATTGACTCTCTGAGCCACCAACAGTAAACCACTCCTCAGCTGCTCAAACAGACAGGTACAATGGACCTTCCAGCAGCACTCAGAATTATTCCTGATTTCCCATTTCCTTTATTTACTATATGTGTTTAATTTAACAATTATTATTACTATTATTTTCTTTGAGAGAGAGGAAAAAACAAACACCCCCAAGGTATTTTCCTGTCCTCTTAAAACTACACTAAAACCTAATTAAGCAAACAACAAAACTGCGGTACTAAACTTAATTAAAGTAAGCAATAATCAGTCAAGCAACTAAAAACCCAAGCACCCAATCAAGGAATAAACAGAAAAAAACAACTAAAAGGAAATCTGATCAAATATATTCGATAGCACGGCAAACCAGGGGAGGGAGCCAGTGCTGCACTCCCGATCCACTGCACAGAGCTGCACAGTCCTCGATGTCAACCACATGGGCAGAGAGAGAACCAAGCAGCCATACTCTTTCCTCAACTAATGCCAGCAAGAAAGAGGAAGAGAAGAGGGGGAACAGTCCTTAAATACCCTATCGTTCCCGCATCCTCCTGGGAAGATGGCAAAGGTAAGCTGTGGTGCTGAAGCCCAGCTCTGCAGCGGCTTAGTCATTTTTGTTCAAAGCAGACTAGATAGCTAAGTTGAGAGGTTGAGAGTTCAGCTCCCCACTGTGCTTCCCAGGAGAAGAGACAGCCTGTGTGGCCCTTGACAAGCTGCAAAATCTCAGAGCTCCCCTTAAAAAAGGGGAAGAAGTACTCTGTAACGAGAAAAGGGGTGTGATAAACCACAATGACTTTATTATACCCAGACAAAAGTGGACTGTTACCCATGAACAAAATCTGGAGTAATCTGAATTCATAAGGTGTTCCACTGTTGGGTCTTATTTCTTACATCTGTGGAAGCAGAGGTTTTTATAGTGTTTGAGTACAAATTGGCACTACACTAGTAACTCAGCAAAAGTGTTGCATAAATTCTTCCAAAACCCTCCAGTTTATGAATGTGGGATTTTTGTTCTTCTGTACCCACAATTCAAGCCAGGAAATGGACCAATATTGCTACACAATACCGTGCCTCTGTTGCCAACAGAAAAAAGATGCCATGTTTTACATAGAAAAGGGCAGCCTGAATGTTGACAACACCAGTGGCAGCAGTCAAGATGGTCTATAGCAGCAGTCCCCAACCTTTTTGGAACTGTGGACTGGTTAGGGGGGCAGGCTCCATGTTCAGGGGCACCCCTACACTCGCGGGTGGGCATGTCGCACTTGTGGATAGGCATGTTTTGCTAGCACGAAGGTGTGTTGTGCTTGCAGGGATGTGTGCTGCATTTGTGCATGAGCACAATACGTCCTTCCAAGCATGACACCCCCCACGAGCGCAACACCCCTGCAGGGCATGCATGTGGGTGACAGAGATCTGTCTCTGCGGCCCAGTCTTGGGAAGCTCACGGACTGGCACTGGGCCGTGGACCGGGGGTTGGGGACACCTGGTCTACAGGATACCCTCTTGTGCTCACTATCATTCACAAAGAGACTCAAAGCAAGGGAATATCCCAGAAGCTGACTCCTTTTATCAACAGTTGACCACTTCTCACCCAAACACAAAGCAATTGACAAGACAGCTTTTCAACAGCTATGAATGGCAGTGAGCACAAGAGGGTATTGCCCACTAATTTGTAACATGTATCAAACTAGAGCAAAATTTCAGGAGAGGAAACTATGAGCTTATCTACATGTAGCAACTAGATTGAGCTGGAATGGACTGAATAGGGTCTGGTACCTTGTATCCAAGTAACCCTATTTGATCTGCAGAGAGCCACTTCACAATATGGGCAAATTAGAGACTTCCTCAGCTCTATGAATGGGCAGAGAATGTGAAAAAATACATTTAAGTGTGCATTGGAGCAATGAATATGTGCTGCATCACTTTAAATGCATAAGCCTTATAATTAGGTATGTGTATTACAATTTAGGTATGTGTTATTAGGCATATCTACTTAATATGCATACCTAACTTGCAATTCACATACCTAATGCTATTTTTAAAGCTATGCAGTGCATATTTGCTGCTCTAATAGATACTTTGGGGGGGGGATTGCTTCCTCAGCCTCCTTATTTAATTTACCAGTATTGCAAAGTGGGTTCTTTCACAATACTGGCAAGTCAAAAGAGGAAGGCTCACGTTGGTTCATCTGCCATGATCACACACACTAGAAATGGACCAAAATAGAACATTCCTGCCCACACCAAAAAAGTAGAAGCCCCTGATAGCAGCCAGAAAAGTGCCGGTAGAACAGCTACAGAGACAGGCTGGTTCACTCCAGCAAAGACATCATCTGATCAACATCTTTAGGAATGAACCGTCCTGTCCCTGCAGTGGACCAAACAGCGGGCTAAACACCCATGTAATCAGCCTCTGGCTGTGGCATGTGCGTGTTCAGGATTACAGACAAATATGTATAAATGGTGTTTCCATGTTAAATATAAATTAGGTAGTTGATGGCAGCTTAAATCAAGGGAACTAAAGGTCTAACTTTCTGGTGCTAATTGTGCCACTTGCAATCACACTATGGTGGTTGTTTTCTTTATTCATGTAGAAGTGTGAGGGTAATTCTTATCAGGATCAAACAGTAGGGAGGTTAAGGCTTTCTTTCTCCACAAACACAAGAAAAATTATCCCCACCAATAATAGGAGAAATTTTTTTCCCCATCTAAGCCTAATTGAAGCAATGTTTGCTGCAGGAAAGAATAGGGCTAAATTTGCCCTCATATACTGTGGTGTTGAAAACAGTTGGGTGCGTCAACCCTGTAGTTAAATAAAGAACAATGGGCAGTCCTTTTGCCAATGACCCTGCTGCTAAGATAACATATAATTAAATCATAATGGGGATCAAACCTTTCATTTTTCAGACTTGAGGCTGCTTTTCTTTTGGTCGGTTTTTTTTCCAAAACAGGCAAGGGATGGAGAGAGGGAGCTTCTCTTTGGGCCCCAGGAAATGGTGCTTGCCTAGCACACAGATGAACAGATGTTGCAAACTCTGATTCATCAAGAAGTATCCTTTAATTTTATTCATACCGACTGTCATTTTTGTATGTTTCTTCTAGATACGACACTGTTTTTCCCATCATTCAGTGCAAACTCATATTTGGAACTTCCGTCACTATCATTTCTGGCTGAGGGTGGATTTGCAACAGGGCAAGAACAGAACAGAATGACCATCTACTTGACAGTGAAGACAAGTGCACTAAATGGCACTCTCCTTTACAGTAAGTACAGATGTTGTATGAGCACTGAATGGTATCTAAGGCCATGCAAGGTAACGTCTGTGAACACCATGGGACCTCCCTATCCTCCTCTGCCTGCCCCACTCAGCTCCAAATGCTTCCCCAAACCTAGAGTGCTACTGCTCTCCTAGTAGGCCAACATTAGTGGATTTTACCAAACATCTAGAACAGCAATGGAGAACCTATGGCAAGCGTGCCACAGCTGGCATGCAGAGCCCTCTCTGCGGGCATGTGAGCCATATGTCGCCAGGTCCCCCCCCCCCCGCAGCCAAACCTGAGGGGGTGGCTGCAGCCATGGTGCTGGCGCTTTGACAGGCAATGGGCAGGATCCAGAGCAGCTGGCACTGGCGGTGGATCCCAAATGGGGTCTTGAGGCACCTCCGTGCCGGGGATTTCCCCTTCCGCCACCACTTCCGGTTCTGTCACCTGCCAGTTTTTTTTTCCTGTTTGGGCATTTGGGCCCAAAAAGCTTCTCCGTCTCTGATCTAGAACATATTTTAGAATTTCATTAACTGATTTCAAATTGCTGTTAGTGTAAAATTAAGAGCACACTTTTATCTTGTTTTGTAACTACTTTGCATATCATGGCAAAAATCTGGCTACTAAGCAGAAAAGAATTAATAATATTAAATCCACGATTCTCAGGGGCATGGGCAGAGGCACCAAGACAATTTGCATTTGCACTCAACCACACCCTGAATGGCAGCAGGGGCATTTGCCAGCTAGGGATGGACTTGATAATACAAATTTTCATATACTAAACAGAATTTCTGTGAATAAGCCCAACAGGAGCACATAAGCAAGTAGTGTATGTTTTATTAGCAGCAGCAGTAACAACAGCAGCACAATTATCACGTTCATTACTTCTTTATATAATTTTTTGGTTTGTTGTAAAAGCCACTGTGTCTTGTGGCATGATAAATATGAACAGATTCCATCATCATTATCATCATCATCATCTTAGAACTGGAGAGTTGGAAGGGGTATTACAAATCACTGAGTTCTACCCTTGTCAAGGAGGCACAGTGAGGAATGGCACCTCCCAACCTCTGGCTTCACAACCAGATACCTAAACCACTGACCTATCCAGCAGTACAGTAGAATCCACGGGCTGAAACCCTGTTGTTTGGCATAGGAAAGTGCACTAGAGTAGGCCAATTGAATTGATGAGGGTTTGGTGAGACACATTCACAAGTTCAACCAATTGAAATAGATCTGCTGTAGTTGCAGCTTAGGGTTTGTCTACACAGACTCAATTGGAGTGGGATAAATAGGGTTGCTTAAGGCCAGCAGTACAGTAGAATCCACGGGCTGAAACCCTGTTGTTTGGCATAGGAAAGTGCACTAGAGTAGGCCAATTGAATTGATGAGGGTTTGGTGAGACACATTCACAAGTTCAACCAATTGAAATAGATCTGCTGTAGTTGCAGCTTAGGGTTTGTCTACACAGACTCAATTGGAGTGGGATAAATAGGGTTGCTTAAGGTCAAATGCAAGGGAGATAGGGAAAGTTACAGAAAATTGAATGCAGACTTCCAAAGAATAGCAAGGAGAGACAAGAGGGCCTTCTTAAATGAACAATGCAAAGAAATATAACCCTATTGGGTCTGGCTCCTTTAAGAAGTCAAAGAATAGAAAAGAAAATTTTTGTCCTTGCTCCCTCCTGTCTCCTTCTGCTTCTGAAAGCATGATTTCATTTTTGTAATTTTTTTTCCTGGGTAGCTCAGTGGTTTAGGTATCTGACTTCTGTCCCACTCATTTCGCCTGTGATGAGATTTCCTCCTTACATTACTTTTTCTTCTTTATTTTTCTAAAAATATTTATATTAGTCTATATCCTGCAACTTAGTGGTTCAGGTATCTGGCTGTGGAGTCAGAGGTTGGGAGTTCGATTCCTCACTGTGCTTCCTTGACAGGGGCTCAACTTGATGATCCATAGGGTCCCTTCCAGTTCTCCAGTTCTAAGGTTATTATGGCTGCTTTGGGCTTCCCATGCACTGACTTGACAAAATCAGTTTTTGGATCCAGAGCACAAATCAGACTTGATCAGGCATAGATCATTTCAGACCAAACAGGAGACAGACAGAAGCTCCAAACTGGCCTACAAATGAGACAATAGATGCACTGACCATGTGTCCAGCACTCTTTTCATCCATG